GAGAGAGAGAGAGAGAGAGAGAGAGAGAGAGAGAGAGAGAGAGAGAGAGAGAGAGCCCATGGAGTCCAGAAGGGGCTGTTGGATCCCCTGGGGAACTGGAGCTTTGGAGGTTGTCAGTTGCCTGATGTGGGTGCTGGGAACCAAACTCTGGTCCTCTGAAAGAGCAGCAAGTACTGTTATCTGAGCATCTCTCTATGCCATGGCATTGAGACCTTAATGGGGAAAAGGGGGGCCCTAAAGCATACATAATAGGAGAACATCTTCATCAACTATATATATGACAAAAGATCAATGTCTAGAAGAAATAAAGAACTCTAGTAGCTGGATATCAAGAAAACAAACCATTTGATTTAAAAGTGGGCTCCAGAACTGAACAGAGTTCTGGAAAGAAGAAATTAAAATGGCCAGTAAACACTTTAAGTGTTTGTCATCCATAATAATCAGGGAAATGTACTTTAAGATTCCATCTCCCCCCAGTTGGGATGGCTATCATCAAGAAATCATCATGGCAGCAAATGCTGGTGGGTGTAATAGACGCTTAGACACTGTTGCTGGAGATGTAAAGTAGTTCAGCCATTTTGGAAATCAGTCTGGAGGACTGACCTCACATATGACCCAGACACACCACTCTGGGCAAACACCACATGAAGGACTCGACTTGCTCATTGCTGCTCTAGTCACAATAGCTAGAAAATGGATTCAGCCTGGATGGCCATCAGGTGATGAATGAATAATGTAAATGTGGTACACACACAGTGGAATTTTATTCAGTGGTAAAGAAAAATGAAATTTGCAAGAAAATGAATGGAACAGGAAGCAGCTCCACTGAGCAGGTTAAGCCAGGCCCCAATGCAAATGCCACATGGTCTCTTACATGTGGACCATCGCTTCCGATTGGTAGGTCTGTTTGCTTACATTCAGTAGAGACCTGGACACAGAAAGAAGAAGGTGGGCGAGGAATGGGGAAGAAGGCGAGGGACAGTGGGGAGGTTACCCAAAACTAAGAGTGAGTGAGGTATTCATGGGGAAGCCTACTGCTTTACAGGCTAATTTAAAGGGAAAAAAAGCATGAAAGAAAAGATAGAAATAACCACCCCCTACCCAGCAAACTTGAATGCCTTCCTGGAGCCCATTTATGCTCTACATCTCATGATTGACTAAACAATTTCACATCTACCATAGTTATGCGACAGCACATCCTGTGGGAGCCCACAGAGACACCCTAGTAAGACCTTACTCAAGGTCAGTAAGTCTGAACCTGCTTTACCCAGCAGGGCTGCATAATGGGATGATTTGGCCAAGAGCATGGTGACCAGGTGTTTTGAAGGGTCTACACTTATTGATACTTTATACCTTGGCTCAGAAGGGGGAGGTATTTTTGCCCCTCCCCTTGCTGATGGATAAAAGGCCCATTATGAATAAAGTCGAGGCAACTTTATTGACCCAGGGCCCTCCCGAAGCTATCCTGTGTCTCTATCTTTCTCATGGTCTCCATCTGTATCTCTATCTAATACTTCTTCATTCCTCACTCCCTGCCCCCCAAGAACCCTTCAGCAGGTCAGGGCTGGCCTCCAACATGCCATTCATGTTACAATTTCAATAAGAGAGGAGGCCTCCAATACACTAACATTTCCCCCAAAGGGACCCCACAGACAAGATGTTCATGATGCTTTTGGTTCATGGCTTGGCTTAGAGATCACTTTCCACTGGAAACAGGCCCATGCACACAGCCATGTCAACCTGAAACATGTGTCTGCAGCTGTGTTTGTCTCCTACAGAGGTCTGTGCTCTTGGGAACCCTTCTGTTATCTAGTGTAAACTCCTGAAGGATGATCATGATCTGCTAAGATGATTTCATGGGTTAGAAGTCTGTGAATGATTGGGAAGTGTTGCAAAAACCATGTGTGCCTCTTTAAGGAGATTGGAAAATGTTGCAAAAACCATGTGTGACTCTTTAAGGCGTTGAAGCACAGGGTGAAGAGCCTAGATTCTAGGGTCAGCCTCCACCTCCAGACTCCAGCATTACCAGGGACTGCTGTAGAGATTCAGCCAAGTTTTTTTTTTCTTTTTAATTCTCTAATCTGTGTTTCCCTTACTTGTATAGCGGAAATAAGGAATGTATGTGTCCCTCTGCCCCAGGATCTGTTTTAAGGAGTCGGCACATGCCCAATGCACCGGGGCTACCACACAGGCGGTTGTTCTCACCACCACACTTAGTTTTGCTCACACGGGTAAAGATGGTGGCGTGGGCACCAAATTGTGATCCACTGTAGGTCCTAGGGTGGACAAAGCATGGGCGAAAGTGAAGCCAGATGCAAAGAAAATGAAGGAAGTGAACTAGTTAAGATCCGGAAGAGGCCAGGCAACCTAGACAGGGAGGGTTGAAGGAGAAACCCCAGGGGAGAGGAACAGCAAGGAGTGTGCATATGTGTTCGTGCGTGCGTGCGTGCGTGCATGCGTGTGTGTGTGTGTGTGTGCGCGCGCGCGCATGCATGCACAGGCATTGCTATTTGGTCTCAGAAACTCACATACACACAACATTTTTCCTTCCTTGAACAAACGCCAGTACCTGAGTACTTTTACACCAAGCCAGTAACAAATCATTTCTAGAAGAGGCTGCTGTGGCCTAGGCAAACCTGGAAGCTGCTGATACACTAATCTAAATTATACCCTTGGTCCTCTGACTGCCAGTCTCTGTCCAAGGAAGATCTTAAATACAGGTCTGAGCACGCAGTTTACCCACCACCCAGGCCCAAGCTGTGTTTATGGAGCAGCTAAAACCGCGGGAGAACCTGCAGAAACAGCTTGCTTTGGCTCACAAATCACTGTGTTCAGGCCCAGAAGCCACATGCCAGCCCTTGCCTCTGCCCTCACCCTGCAGACACAATGCCCAGGGGCCCCAGATCCAAGCCATGGGGGTGGGAACATTAATGTGGAGTGTGTGTGTATGAGGACACACAGTGAGTAGCAAAGGCAGACAGCCTCTAGTGGCAGCGGGGATGAGGGGTGGCAGGGCTATGCTCCCATTTTTGTACACTGGCATACTGAGACTAGGACCGATTATTATAGTGATATAAAAATGTCTGACCTTTGTTGACCATTTATTCCAAGGCAGCATGGTGCAAGCCTCTTCAACGGCAAAATCACATTGATTCTGCTAACTGTGTGAGAGAGCTGCTGGCCTCACCCCAACTCTGCAGAAGAGGGATCTGGGACCCACTGGGGCTAAGGGGGTAACTCAAAGGCAGGGGCCACATCAAGGCTTTGGACAGTGAGGGTTGGAACAGGGTCTGCAGAAAGGCAGAGGACAGATACACTTTCTATCTGGGCAAAGGGAGCTTCTGAACCATTCTTCATATCTTAGTTGGGGTTACTATTGATGTGACGAAACACCAGGACCAAAAGCAAGTTGGGAGGAAAGGGTTTATTTTGCTTACACTTCCACATCACATCCATCACTGAAAGAAGCCAGGACAGGAATTCAAACAGGGTAGGATCCTGGAGACAGGAGCTGATGCAGAAGCCAGCAGAGGGGTGCTCTTTATGGGCTGTTCATCATGTCTTGCTCAGCCTGCTTCCTTATGGACCCCAGGACCACCAGCTCAGGCACCACCCTCCATGGACTGGGCCCTCCCCGATCAGTCACTAATTAAGAAGATGCCTTATTGCTGGGTCTTATGAAGGCATTTTCTCCACTGAGGTTCCTGCCCCTCAGATAACTCAGATAAGCTTGTGTCAAGTTGACATCAAACTAGCCAGCATACCTGGCTACCCCAAAACTTCCATCTGGAGGTACAAGGCTGACATCATATAGGCTCAGGTGCTGAGAAGGAGTGAGAGGAGAGCCAGAAGGCTTGGCCTGAGTGGGAGAAAATGCCCTGAGCTACAAAGGCCCTGTGGATTCACAGACAGAAAAGTAAAGCCGACCAGAGGGGCTGTTTGAGGCCATACAGAAAGTCAGTGGCAGAGCCGAGGCAGCGATCTGCCAGCCAATGTCCCCTGCATAGTCCCAACAATAGTAAAAACAGTGAGTATGATGTGTGCACCGAGAGCTTCACTACCAGAAGCTCTGCTGGTTCTTACACTGACTCAGTTGTCCCTCCATGTGCTAAAGCACAGAGACATTAAACAGTTTTTACATGATCACACAGCTTGGAAATACACTGTGTTCTTCAAGGTCATATAAACACCTCTCTGTCTTTGTCTCTGCTTCTGTCTCTCTGTCTCACTCTCTGTCTCTGTCTCTCTCTGTCTCTCTGTCTCTCTCTCTGTCTCTCTGTCTCTCTGTCTCTGTCTCTCTCTCTGTCTCTGTCTGTCTCTGTCTCTGTCTCTGTCTCTCTCTCTCTCTCTCTCTCTCT